GGCGTGTGTACCGGTATCATGTATACCACATGATTGTGTACCGCCGGTATCGTGTACACCGGTACCGTGTACTACTACTAATATTGAAGAGTATGTCACTAGTCCGATTTATACCACTATTGTCAATACAGAATCTACCACTGTTGAGAATCCAAGTTATACTACTGATACCGACACTGAATATACTACTAGTACTGATTATATTACTAGCACTACTACAGATTCTACTACTAGTACAGATTATATTACTAATACCAGCACTGAATATACTACTACAAATATTACTGCAGAGACTATTATAGACATATTAAATTATAACTTGACAGTAGCAACTAATAGCATGACAGAGATATCATACAGGGTTGAAAAATTATTTACTAGTGTTGTAGCATTAGCACCATTGACATTATTATTATTAGCAGCATCAGTTGCAAGTGGATATATGCTTTATCAACAGAGAAAAAACAAGTCAGGAGGTTCACAAATTCTACGCAGTATAGGGCGTGGCAGTACAAATGCCAAGACTCAAAAAGAAAAAGAAGAAGAAGAAGAAAAAGAAAAAAAGGAAATCGAAAAACCAAAAATAGAAAAGTATGGTTATTACAGTTTCCCATTAATTTCTGATCTTAAAAAAATGCCAAAAGAAGAATTAAAACAAGTCAAGGACTTTACGGTTGGAAAATATAATGTTGGTAATATTCTTTATTCTGTTCCAGTGGATCTTAGTGAAATTGAACCCATAGAACAAATATTTGGTAAAACTATTGTCATTGAAGATAAAAATTGTATAGTTTATGGAGAAGGTTCTAGTAAGCCATCAGTTGGAAGTGGTCTTAATAAAAGAGCTGTTATCACATTGGATGAGTGTTGGGCAATAAATAAACTTACTCGTCAACCAATAAAAGATCCAAAAGATTCTCAATATCAACAACATATCCTTAGATTAAAGAATATACCCAATACAAAATTTATTACATTTGTTCCAGCAACCGGAAGTTGGGTGTTTGAAGTAGAAGATTTTACTATTAATGGTTTTGATTATGAATCGATAATAAATAAAAATTCTACTACTAGTAGTATTAGTAGTAGTAAAGAAATTTTTGAATAATACCAAATTCTTTACTTTTTTATGATATTAATATTTATTTTTATTCAGACAAAATGTCAAATCAAAATTTTTTCTATATTTAAATACAAAATGAAATATTATATTAATTAATATAAAATTCAGTTGATGCAATTAACGCATATCATTTTATTATTATATATTTTAGTATTTTTCATTTGTACATGTGTTTATATATATTATACTAAAAAATAATAAAAATGATATTTTATAAAGCGGGTTGGAATGGGTGGGTTGGGTGCAGTGTTTGCCACCTGAAAATTCTTTGCTTCTGCAAATCTTGTTTCAGCGTAATTTTCATATAGGACATGCTGCAACAAAACCAGACAATTTCAAAATTTAGTCATTTGTAATGTGATCATAATTAATATCCCATTGTTATCTTAAGTGATATATAGAACTATATAAAATAGTTAATATGAAATTAATTGGGGCATGCTGCAACAAAACCAGACAAAATGAACATTGATATAACAAAGAATTTCAGGGATCAAGATTTAATCATCACCAACATAACATGATTATGATTTAACAAGAAATGCCGGGAAAAATTATGTCATAGAAGGTGTAAAAGTTCTTAATGAAGCAAGGTTCCACAGTTCATATGAAGTTATTTCCACTATATGTCCTGAAGATCTAGCCAGTCAAGCAGGTAATTAATATATTTGATCCTCATATATGAAGGCAACACGTCATGTGCTGAATGATGTTTTTTATAAACTCTTGCAATAGATATTAATACAAGTTATAGTCAACAAATTGATCGATTACAAGATGAGGCACAGCAACTTCTTTTTGAATCGAAATGTTACTATTGGTATTCAATTATTAATATGTTGATTCTTTTCTATTTAATTAAGGAATGTGATAATAATGAGATGACTGAAGATTCTTTGATTGAATTTGAGAACAATATAAACAGATGTCGACTGATAGAAAATGGAAACTGCCATCGGGTAAATTTGTTGAAGAAATTATTTATAATTATGTTAGATTTTAAATACGATCTAAGCTATCTGAGATATCCATATAGTTTATTTTTCATGTTTAATAATAATAACAAATGGTTGGTTACGAAAAAAAATGTTGGGACGGCAGTCCTATTTATACGTTTCGAATTAATAAAATAGGCTGTTGTCTTGGCCCGAGTGATGATTTCAATTGACACAAATTTGGTTTTCACGCCAACATCAATCAATCCCTTTTTTCTTTTCTAATATATATCAAAAGTAGTTCATTCCAACCATCACTAGCACATGAATTAGTAAGTAAATTACGTTTCGATGGAATTTTCAAAATCCATTAATAATATTTATTGAAATACTTGATTTTTCTTTTGTAATTGAAATAAAAAATTAGAGATTGTTACGACTCACAATGAAGAATATGTTGGAAAAACTTGATGAAAAAGATGCAAACATTTCACATTATAATAAAGTTGCAGAAAAAAAAGCAACAGAGATCATTGATATTGAAAAATCATTATTTGAGATTTTTCAACAACTGAATGGTGGCAAGGATTTTAAATTTCTTTTCTGTTTGTTAATTTAACATTTTTGGTAATATTTTCACTTCAAGCAGTATCAGAAAGGAGCAATTGTTTACATCGAATTGAAAAACTACAATTTATGAGTTGGTAGAGTTTAGACCTGATCCAAATCTCAATCTAATTATTGGACCTAATGAGGGTAGAAGTGCTTTCATGTTTGCTATTGCTCTTGGCTTGGGATGTAATACTTTGGTTAGGAATTTAAATGTTTTATATCATTATGCTAATCTGTTGATGAAAATAAGTTATATTAGAAGGGTAATAATAACTATTGATCGATATTACTTGTTGTTTATTTATTCCCTCATTTAAAAACAAAGTTTCTCAAGGATATAAGAAATATTTCTCATTTTATAAAAGATGGACAAAATCACGCATCTATAAAGATTGAATTAAAACATGATGATGATAATGTGATAATAATTTGTTTGATCACAAGAGCTGATAATAGAACTCAATGGACATTAAATGGTAAATTTTTCCATCTTTGGTGAGAAAATTCTCAGAATATAGAATATTTTTTAATAATTTTGCTTATTAATAAAAATATTAACATTCATTCATAATTATTAATATAGTCCAATACTTGCTCATGCTCCATATGCGTCCCATCCTACGTACGGAAATAGTAATAGGTAGTGAATATTTAAATATTAATATTAATCACTAAAAATATGTTACATGTCAATTTTTCCTTAATATGATTAATTAACTTGTACCATGACAAAATTAGCACATATGTTTAATCCAAACATTGATTTACGTGCCTGCTGATTGATTATCTTAAAATAAAAATCATACAGTGTATTGCGAAAAAAATGGCGGTTGCATTTTATAACATATTAATTATTAGTATGTAGACTGGAACAATTATTATATTAAACTTGTGAATTTATTTTATTTTAATTGACAAGATTCCAGAAAAGCCGGATGCGTGAGATTTATAATCTTCGGAACTTTAGCTACAAATTGATACAATGTTTTCTATTGTTATTAATTACAGTATGTGTTTTTTTTTGTTTAATTTAATACATTTGGGGTTTCCGATACTTTTCGGCACAAGTCAAAAAATTTAGTGATGTCTAAAAAGATGTGAATCGGCTTTACAAAAAAAATTGACAATAGCAATAGTAATAGTCTATTAGGATTTTAAACAAATAAAATATTATTAAATTATTTTTCCTTGCCGTCATTTTTTTTTCACACTCTGTATATTATTATTATCAAAAGTGTATAATTAGAGATTAATTGAAAATATGAACATTTAAAAATAAAAAAGAAACCATATTTCTCATTACTTCATTACTTACCACTAATATTGCATTAAGTAGCAGGAATAGTAGAATTGGATAATTGTAAATAGAGGGGCGGGATTTTTTTTAATATTTTCTTGTAACGGGGGTTTGTGTTGTTTGATTGTGACCAATTGAATTAATAATGTCAAATTGATTTCCTCGTACAAATATCAAATCTTTTGCCAATTAATAATTACCAAAACTATGGATAGTGCCAACAACAACATTAGTTTCAATACAATCAACTTCCAAATAAATAAGATGAACTTTTTGGGATATTTTCATTGAATAAAATATCTTGGTGAAGTATATTGTTTTCCTTATTAATAACCTACTTGTAAAAACTACTCTTCATTGATAGTTATCATTGTTTCAATAGCATTAATTTTAGTCGCGCATAGAAAGGGCGATGACGGCTGCTGGTTACTGGTTTTTATCCAAAAGGTTTTTTAATCTAGTCGTCAAATGTATGTATATAAGTAATTCCACTAAGCCAAAATAATATTCACTAATCAAACTTACCGAGTTTTTATCAGAAGAAAGATTCCCCTTTCTCCCGGTTAGCTGTGGTAAAATATACATCATTTTTCGTTTTACACATTAAATATAAATAATAATAAATAAAAAAATCCCACGAACAATGTATTATATCGTGTAACACTAAACAGGTTGAATCACTGTTTTTTTACTTATTACAAATAGAGAGTCTCTAAAAATTACATAAATCAATAATAATAAATACTATATTAATGTTAGTCGAATTTTCTTTTAAAAAATATATTATAAAAACGAGAAGTTGGCGTGTAACTTTTACTAATTATTTTTCCTATTTAAATTCTTGTCTATCTGGATCATTACCTCGTAACCCTGAGAATAGAATGATCTGTATTTGTTTGTTTATATATATGTATAATAAAAAATAATAAAATAATAATAATAAGTGAAAAAAAATAAATAAATATTTTTTTCCATTAAATGTATTAGAAAATTTTTTGGCAAAAGAAAAATAACATTAATTATATATAAAAAAATGTCTCATACACCTCGCGAATTAAGAACACCAACACCTTATGATTTTAGTAAGTCTTGCTGCTTGTATAAATTAAAACCATTTTATACGCTTTAATTATTTAATTGGTTACATCTCAATAGGTTCTAACCAAAGTGATGATGATGATTCAGAAATTGATGAATTAGCACCTCTTACCTCCACAAGAAATGGTAAATCATCTGAAATTTTATATTTATTTATGTAATTAATCTAAATATCCATATATTATTATTCATCAATTAAAATTTTCAATTAATCAATGCCTTTTTTTCTTTTTTAAAATCATCTTCCTCATCGTCATCCAAATAATAGATCCCAAGTCAAATTTTTCATGGGCAACATTTAGAACTAGACTCAGATATTATGTACCAGTATTTAGTTGGATGCCAAGCTATTCATTGAATACTTTTTGGGGTGATTTTTTTGCAAGCTTGACTGTTACAGCAATTTTACTACCTTCATGTTTATCATTTTCTGTGTTGGCGAAATTGCCTCCAGTACATGGGCTATATAGTATTGTGATTCCAGGAGTCATCTACTCATTTCTTGGTACTTCAAGGTGTGAATTATAATTAATATTTGCGTTTATTTTGATTTATTCATTCATTTACCCATTTATTCATTTTTAAATATCCCTAGACAATTGGTTATCGGACCAGAAGCTCTAGTGGCAATGCTTGTGGGGTCGTCAGTAGCACAACAACAAAAGTATTTAGGCAAAGTAGATGATGAAAGTGTTGCAATAATGATAGCATCATTGATAACATTTTTTGTTGGAATTCTGACATTTATTCTTGGAATTGTTAGATTGGGATTTATAGATTCGGTGTTATCACGTGCTCTTTTGAGAGGTTTTATTTCAGCAGTGGCAATAGTAATTATTATTGAACAATGCTTAGTGATGTTGAGATTAACTGACTTAAATCATCATGAAGGGAAAGGATTGGGACATGCATCTTCAACTTTAGACAAACTCATTTATATCATAAATAATATTGAACAATCGCATATACCAACAGCCATTATATCATTTTCTAGTCTTTTATTCTTATTGGTTTTTGGTTCAATCAAAGGATATTTGTCAAAACGATTTTCATGGGTACAATTCATACCTGAAATATTTATATGTGTAATAATTTATACAATTTTATGTTCTATTTTTGATTGGGAAAGTCTTGGAGTAAAAATTCTTGGAGATATTAAAGGAGGTGGATTTCCCAAATTCTCAATTCCAAGTCCACCAAAGCTGGCTCATATTATTGATTGCTTCGAGACAGCAGTTTTAATCTCAGTTGTAGGATTTGTTGAATCTATAGTTGTCACAAAAACCTATGCCACCAAACATAATTATGCAGTTAGTCCTAATCGTGAATTAGTAGCATTGGGTGCATCAAATTTGATTGGTAGTTTTTTTCAATGTATACCAGCATATGGTGGAATGGCTAGAAGTAGGATTAATGATAAAGCTGGTGCTAAGACTCAATTATCAGGACTTATAACTGCAACGTTTGTTCTGTTTTGTTTATTCTTCCTGTTACCATTATTCTACTCTTTGCCCAAACCTGTATTGGCATCAATAGTTTGTGTGGCTGCTATCTCTTTATTACATGAGCTACCTCATGATCTTATCTTTATGTATAAAATAAAAGCTTGGAATGATTATGCTTTGCTACTTTTGACCTTTTTTTCAACAATATTTATATCAACTGAATATGGAACTTTGATATCAGTAGGTTTATCATTAGTGCTTGTTGTTAAACATTCCACCTATCCTCGCATTACTATAATGGTTAGTATGAAATTATATATTATATAATATCAATTTATATATACATTTTTTTAAAAAATTAAAATTAATAATATTTATATTTAGGGAAGAATTGGCAACTCTAATAAATTTAAACCGATTAAAGATTTTCCAGATCAGGCAGAACATGTTGAAGGAGTTTTAGTGATTAAAATATCCGAACCTTTATATTTTGCTAATACTGGACAACTTAAAGATCGTCTTAGACGTCTAGAAGAATTCGGAGACATGAGTGTTCATCCATCAGAAGATGCAAGAATGTCACCTGTTAGAAATGTGATATTTGATATTGAAACGATGGAAGGGATTGATGCCAGGTTAACATTAAATTATTAAATTATTAAAAAAAATTATAAAAATGCATTACTAATTAATATATACGTAATATATACATATTTATTTAGTGCTGTACAAATTCTTTTTGAAATAGTGGAGGCATATCATCTTCGTGATGTAAATGTTTATTTTGTGAAATTACGTTCTAATCAAAAGAAAATGTTTGAAGGTGCAGGAATCATAGAGAAAGTTGGCAAAGAACATTTCTTCAAGTAAGTATTAACAGTAAAATAAAATATTATTATTACAATTGATTGCACAATTACTGACAATTTGTTTTTTCTTCACTCTCTTTGTAAAATAATAAAGCCGAATTCCTGATGCATTGGAATACATTAATAATGGTGCCAATGATTTTAGTGTCAGATATGAATAGAACTGGTTGAACTGATCTGAATATTTTTCATTAAAATAAAAAATCAATCAATCAAGCTAATAACAATTAATAATATAAAAATATAAAAATGTATATATGTACGCATGTAAAAATAATCTATTTAATATAAAAAATATTTATATATTATCTGATAACCTATAATTGATTTTATATTATTTGCTTCCATTCACTATATGCGAAACCAGTATATGGATGAGGATCTTTTAATACAATTGTTGATGCCAGTGCCCCAAGTATACTTACAAAAGATAAATTCAATGATAAAGGCATCATGAGAAAGGCCAAATAATTTATATAATACTTAAAAAATCTCGTATATATTTAATTCCTCCAATAAATGACAATTTAGCAGTAAAATGAAGCGAAGAAAGTGGTGACCAGAGTTTTTCAATGTTCTCTAGATTGAAATCAACATTTTCTTCATCTAAATCTTCTTTGGATTCACCGTTGAGTTAAATTCTGAAGGTTAAAGAACAGCAATGGTCGAGAAAAGATTTATTTTCAGTTTATTTATTCCACTATTTTCCTGTTTTAAATGTATAAATACATAAATGCATATGGGCGCAATCTACCCTGAAGGGCATTTTTAGCTTAGAAACCATACTCACTTGGCTTAGTAATTTTTTTGGGATATTGTCCTTTAAAGTTATGAAAATACTATTACTAATTTCAAACAATGTAAATCTTTTTTTTGTCAATTTCTCGATCATTTTCTGCTTGCCGCACCCGTGCACTCATAATAATAGAAAGCAATGTAATAGTATCGGTAGTAGTAGACGATGTTAAATCATTATTTTCCTATTGGGTTAATATCAAGAATCCAGGTTCATTAAAAACAGTCACTCTTGCCCGTTCCAAGTAAATATAATTTACTTGCGATCGATTATGATGATATAAATACAAAGGATTATAAATGCGTGATAAAAAGATATCACAAATTTGAAGGTTCAAAGTTTTTTTTAAATTTTGGGTCGTGAATTCCTAAATGAACTATATATATGGGGGGTTTTCTAGCAAAAACCGTGTATAAGGCCTCTAGACCAAAATTGAGTTTTCTGCATAATATATGTCTATACCACTAGGATTATAACTGGTAAAAATTTTAGACATTATTTACTTAGTACAATAACAAGATATAAGGCTTGAAATATTCACTTTATATATCAAAAACATATGTGTAACATATTTTGCAAAGATCATCACTCAAAAAAATTTATTATACTTATACCCGGTTTTTGCTAGAAAACCCCCCATATATATATATATTAATATTAATATCGATAAGTCTTTAAAAATGCATCAAAAACCATATATTGAAATTGCAAAAATGATACTGTTTTTGCAATCTACATAACCTAAGCAATAATATAACAGTGATTTTTAATCAATAAAAGAAAAGTTATAAGGGTTTAATGATGACCAACACTTTAGTATGTTTGGCGCAAATAAGTAAACTCTTCCTACTAAGTTAAATAGTAAAAATGTAGATGTTATACTTGTGTTGCTCGGGGGAAAATTTCTTGTAGTATAATTAGTATTTAGGGGCCCTGTTTAAAATCACATCTCTTTTCGAAAGATCTCTAAAATAATCAAAATTACTTCCGTTGGTATTATTACTCATGGGGAAAAGGGATGAGTTTGCTGCTTCATTGCAGAGACAATGAATTTCTGCGACGTTTAAAAACATTATTTCTGCCCAAGTTCTTCTGCCTATTTTATTTCAATTCTGCTTAATTTACTATAAAATCTTGTGAATAAAACAAATAATTTTTATTCGAAATTTCTAAATCTTTGAAGTTTCATAACTTTTAATAAGTGGTGGATCTGTGGATCAATATGTAGAGAAGGTGGCAAGCAATATATCTGTAAAAAAAAAGTCACACAAATAATAGTGTTTTTTCGCTCCTCATACCCTTAATTGAAATTGAATTGTTACGCAGACCAGTTCTTAATAATCATAACAAAGAATGTCATGCTGCTGTTCTCGTCCGATTTAGTGTAACAAGTAAAATGTTTACACTATTTATTGTTTTTCACACAATATTACAATATTCAATATTAATATTAATTAAAAAAACGAAATGGCCTCAGAAACAAAGAGCCGTAAACCTGCAAGTTAGTGATTGAAGAATTTGTTTAAGGTTTATTTCAGATAAATTATACTCTGATTTTAACCTCTAAAGAATTTGCATTGTTTTAGATACCGCCTTTAAACAACAACGATTAAAAGCGTGGCAACCTATTCTTGCACCAAATACAGTTTTACCAACTCTTTTTATCGTTGGAATCATCTTTGCGCCACTTGGTGGTTTATTGTTATGGGCTAGTAACAATGTAAATAGATATTTATCAAAGAAGAAACAAGTACATTTTATTTTTCTATAATTTTTAATTACTAATTCGTATATAATTACCATACATGTTATAAATTTAGGTATCTGAAATTAGCTTTGAATATACATTTTGTGATTCAACAGCTCCAGTTTATCCAATTTTTGAACCAATGCCATCTAAATATATTCAAACTTCATTTCCTGGAGCGAATTCAGGATCTGTTGGATCAACACAATGGAGTCGTCAAGTTGTTGTACCACTTCAATCTAACCCCCAAAAGATACCTTATTGGGGTTGTAGAATAAGATTTGGTATACCAAACCAACTGGAGCCTCCAGTCTTTTTTTATTATTATTTAACAAATTTTTACCAAAATCATAGACGTTATGTCAAAAGTTTCGATTCTGATCAATTGAAAGGTGTGGCTGTTAGTCCATCAACTTTACAAAAAAGTGATTGTAAACCAATGGCCGTTACACCTGATGGTCTTCCAATTTATCCTTGTGGCTTGATTGCTAATTCCCAATTCAATGGTAGGTTATAACTATCGAGTAGATTGTTGTTGTTGCTATTCCATTTGTAATTTTAAAAAATCTCATATTAATATATATTTTTTAATTTTAGATACAATCAGTAATCTCTCACTTTTAAGTGAATCAAATTTTGATGTTGTTGAAGAATCATATAACTTTAATCAAAGTGGTATAGCATGGCCATCTGACAGACAAAAATATGGCAAAACAACTTATGAATACAGTAAAATACGTCCGCCGCCCAATTGGGTTGACAGATATCCTAATGGTACATACACAGATGAATATCCACCACCTGACCTTTCAAATGATGAACCTTTTCAAGTCTGGATGCGAACAGCCGGTCTACCTAACTTCAGAAAGCTTTATGGTAAAAATGAAATAGAGCCATTGAAAGCTGGAACCTATGAAGTTTTAATTGAATACAGTAGGTTTCCTTTTCAAAAAAAAAAAAAAATCATTTACCATTCATTTGTGCATATTTATATATAGTTAAATGAACAATATTAATAATATTTTTTTTTTAAAAAAAAAAAGAATTTCCTGTTACTAGATATGGTGGAACTAAATCATTTGTAATTTCTACTGTATCATTCCTTGGTGGTAAAAATCCTTTCTTGGGATATGCTTATATTGGAGTTGGTATTCTTTGTATATTGCTTGGATGTGTATTTACTGTTAAACATTTATACAAGCCAAGGTAACAAAAATATTATTACATAGACAATAGTAATAGTAATATGATTTTTTTATATCATTGAGCTAATTATTATGATTTTTCATTTTAGAAAACTGGGTGATCATACTTATTTGTCTTGGAACAATTAAACAAATAATCATCATAGAATTTTGAATCAAATTGTATATAATTTGGTTTAAAAGTTTTGAACAATTATTTTCAATTAGATCATTCATTATTCATTTATTCATTCATTCATTCATTTAATATAGATTTTTAGATTATTATTATATTTAGTAAAGTTAATACATTTCTATGCATTTATCATTTAATTTTTATTTTTAATCTCACATTACCACAAATTTAATAAATTCATTAAATTCGTCATAAAATATATAAAAATATATAAATAAATATTTCCATTTGAACCTTTCACTTTTTCAAAATACTTTCACATAAAACCATGTGTTACGATTTGTTTTTTTAAAGGTCTTCTGGATCCACTGCTTAAATCATTGGAACTTGAAGCCAATGAACTATTGGAAGTGTTTATTAGTTCACATGTAAAATTATCAACATCACCACCACCACCATTGCCATCATCATCATATTAATGGTATTGATACTCTTCCCATAAGAATTTTTCCATTTTAAATGATAAATTTTTTTGTGCCGCAAAAATCGTTTTTATTCAAACAAATAATTGTCAATATTGATATTAGCATAGTCGTGGGACATTGCAGATCAAGTGTCATTCAATATAAACGTTACACGAAAAAATTTATTGTCGTCCACTTCAAAAAAAAAAATCTCCGTTTTTCATATAGCAAGCGATTTTTAACCATAATAAATTTTTTAGAGCCAGACTGGGGCTTTTAACAATAGTTAAAAGAAAAGACTAGCTTAAAT